AGGGATGTCTAATTAAACTGGGAAGAGCTTTCTGCACAACAAAAGAAACTGCTATTAGGAGTGAACAGGCAACTACAGAATGGGAGAACATTTTTGCAATCTACTTCATCTGACAAAAGAGCTAATATCCAGAACCTACAAAGAACTCAAACAAATTTTTACAAGAAAAAAACAAACCCCATCAAAAGTGGGCAAAGGGATATGAACAGACACTTCTCAAAAGAAGACATTTAATGCAGGCCAACAGGACACATGAAAAAATGCTCATCATCACTGCCATCAGAGAAAATGCCAATCAAAACCACAATGAGATACCAGTCTCACACCAGTTAGAAATGGCGATCATTAAAAGGTCAGGAAACAACAGGTGGCTGGAGAGGATGTGGAGAAATAGGAACACTTTTACACTGTTGGTGGGACTGTAAACTAGTTCAACCATTGTGGAAGACGGTGTGGCGATTCCTCAAGGATCTAGAACTAGAAATACCATTTGACCAGCCATCCCATTACTGGATATACCAAAGGATTATAAATCATGCTGCTATAAAGACACATGCACACGTATGTTTATTGCGACACTATTCACAATAGCAAAGAAGTTGGAACCAACCCAAATGTCATCAGTGACAGACTGGATTAAGAAAATGTGGCACATATAAAACCGTGGAATACTATGCAGCCATAAAAAAGGATGAGTTCATGTCCTGTGTAGGGACATGGATGCAGCTGGAAACCATTATTCTTAGCAAACTATCACAAGAACAGAAAACCAAACACCGAATGTTCTCACTCATAGGTGGAAAGTGAACAGTGAGAACACTTGGACACAGGAAGGGGAATATCACACACTGGGGCCTGTCATGGCGTGGGGGGATGGGGAGGGATAGCATTAGGAGATATACCTAATGTAAATGACGAGTTAATGAGTGCAGCACACCAACATGTCACATGTATACACATGTAACAAACCTGCATGTTGTACACATGTACCCTAGAACTTAAAATATAATAAAAAATGAAAAAAAGAAATACAAAAAAATAAATAAAAATCACAGTGTCGGCAACTAATTAAAAATATCAGGAATGCAAAGGAGCAGGAAAATGTAGCCTATAATGAGGAGAAAAATAAAAAGCAATCAATTGAGACAAATCCAGAAATGACACAGATTTTAGAATTAGCAAAGACATTAAAACAGTTTTTCTAACTGTATTCTATATGATCAAAAAGTAGACACAGGAAACTTTTTTTTTTTTAAAAAAAGACCTAAATTAAACTTCTAGAGATCAAACCTATTATGTATGAGATGAAAACTAATGCTGGGTGGGGTTAATGGCAGATTAAACACACTAACATGAAAAGATTTGTGAAGGCATAGCAACAGCAACTAGCTGTATTGGTTTTCTATTGCTGTTGTGACACATTGTTTACTATTTATTTGTTTATTGAGACAGGATCTTGCTCTGTGGCCCAGGCTGGAGTGCAGTGCATAATTATAGCTAATTGCAGATTGGAACTCCTGGGCTCAGACTCCTTAGTAGCTGGAAGCGCAGGCTTGATCATGCCATGCCTGGCTAATTTTTTAAAATTATTTTTCATAGAGTTGGGGTCTTGCCATGTTGCCCAGACTGGTCTTGAACTGGGGCTCAAGCAATCCTCCCACCTCAGCCTCCCAAAGTGCTGGGATTACTGGCATGAGCCCCTGTGCCTGGTGCCTGGCCTGTGACATGTTACCACAAACTTAGTGGCTTAAACAATGCAAATTTACCTTATGGTTCTGTAGGTCAGAAGTCTGACACAGGTTTCACTGGGCTTAAATCAAGGTGTCAGTAGGCCTGAATTCCTTTATGGAGGTTCTGAGGGTGAATCCATTTTTCTTGAGCTTTCCAGTTTCTAGAGGTTGCCTGCATTCATCAGCTCCTGGCTTCCTTCCTCCACCTTCAAGACCAAAAATGATGGATCAGGTTCTTCTCACATTTTATCACTTCTGCTGTAGTCACATCTCTCTCTTACACTCGTCTTCTGTCTTCCCCTCCACTTTTCAATACCCTTATGATTGCCTTGGGCTCACTTGGATAATCTAAGATAATTTTCCCAGTTTAAAGCCAGCTGATTAGCAACTTTAATTCCATTTGCAACCTTAATCCTTTGCTGTGTAACCTAACCTAATCACAGGTTCCAGGGACAGGGATGTGGATGTCTTTGGGGGCTGTTATTCTGCTACCACACTATACAAAAATAAAACACACAGAGAAAAAAATAATTTAACAAAAACAGAGCATCAGTGAGCTGTGGGATAACCTCAAGTTGTGTGATATCCATGTAACTGGAATCTTAAGCAGGGACAGGGGATGGAAACACGTATTTGAAGTACCAGTGGCCAAAATATTCCAAATGTTATGAAAACTGTAAGTTCACAAATCTAAGAAGTTCAGTGAGTTCCAAGTATAGGAAACCTGAATAAAATTGCACGGAGGCACATCATAATCAAATTACCCATAACTAGTGAAACAGTAAAAAGACACAAAACATCAAAAAATAAGGATGATGGCAAAATTCTCGTGAGAAACAATGCAAGTAGAGCAACATCTTAAAATTTGTGAAAGAAAAACATTTCCAACCTTGAAGACTTTATCCAGTGAGAATAGCTTTCAAAAATGAAGATGAATTAATGATTCCCACACTCAACAGCTGAAAGAATTCATCACCC